CGCAATAAGCAGGCTGACGCGATAATGTCCCACATGCGCAGGCGACCCTTATCTCAACTGCAGCCCGGAGTTCCGCTGCCATATCCAATCGGACCCACACGTCGTCATCGTTGCGGTTGTCGTCGTAATCGTCGTCGTCGGTTCGACGGTACCCAATGCGAACCAAACATTTGCTTGCCACTGATTTTGGGTCGAATTGGACACCCCCGCGTGATTGCGATGTCTTTACACTCTTCGCTCGAACAACTGGTGTGGGTCTTCTCCGGTATATATTTTCTTCGGCGCCCGAGGGGCGACCGTTGGGCGCATCGTGGGATGTAGTGGGGCGCTCTGGGCCTAGTGGAGCTCACGTCGATTGTGGGGCGACGTCTACGTCTCTCGTCTTGTACGTAGTGTACTGGTTCCCCCTGGCGCTGCCAGTGAGAAATGTCAGCGGTTCCCGTCCCCCCGACTCTGCCGAGGGGCAAGGTGACGCACCCGACCGGGGTGCCCAGGGAAAGCTTCGACGCCCGCACCCGACGTGCACCGTGCCCCCGCCGCAAAGTGCCGGTGTATACGTGGCCCGTTTTTGCCAGGCATCGGCTTCCCGTCCTTCCCGCCGCCGAGGCCCAGTCCATGGGCCGCTTCCCGTCGATTTTCCATCCCGAGCTATGCCACAACAGAGGGGGTCCGTTGTAGCATCCGTTGGGGGGCTGTAAGGGGCCCTCCAAGACGGCGTGGACGGGCCCCTACGAGGCCCAGGAGGGCCCCAAGATGGCTCCAAAACGATCCCAAGGGGGGGCAAAAGGGTCCCCGAAAGGCCCCAAAAGGGCTCCAGAGGGATGCCGCAACAGGGGGGTCCGTTGTAGCATCCGTCGAGGGCCTTCCTGGTACTTTCCAAAACAGCCCAGGAGGGCCCCAAGAAGGCCCCAAGAAGGCTCAAGACGTTTCCAAGATTGCCCCAATGGGGGCCAGAAGGGTGCAGAAATGCCCCAAAGAGGGCCCCCGACGGATGCTACAACAGTGGGGCCCGTTGTAGCATCCGTCGGTGGCCCTCTTGGGGCCCTCCTGGGGCGGGCCATCTTGGCCCCCCTTGAGCCGTTTTGGATGGAGCCATCTTGTGGCCCTTCTTGGGATTTTTGTTGAGGCCATTCCAGGTCTCATCCCTTCACAGCAGCTCGTCTGCAGAATGCGATGCAAGGTCCAGGTATCGTGTCCATCAGAACCTTCAGAAACGTGAGGGGGAAGGATATGTCCGTTCCCAATGTTGCTTCTAGCGGTCCGAACCGTTACCCTCAGGGGGCTGAGAAGGTGGTTCCGGGCGGGCCGTTGGGAATTGGGTGGCCCCGCAGTGCCTGGGCAGTCATTGTCACGGGTAGCTCTCAATTCATCGGGCCTCACAGTAGCGGTGCACCTGGCCTAGGCTAGATCGGCTCAGAAATTGCGGTCACCACGCATATTCTTGGGATTTTGATTGCCGCCCCCGGCCCCGAAACCAAACCGCCTTCTGCAAAGTAGCCGTTTGGGTGTGTTCGACTTGGACGAGGCAATTACTGAGGTAGCCAGACTGCCTTCTCATGCCTTCTCAGAGGCAGGGGCGAAGAGCTGACACCGGGAGCTTTCCGTCGCGGGCGTGGTAAGTGTTGCTACTACTTGGGACTTTGGTCTTTGGAGGCCCGGAAAGGGCCAACAACACAGTACTAACATTTGCGATGAGCGACCATCATCATCATCAGCATCATGATCACCATCATCATCATCAATTATTTACATGAATCGCAACACGCATCATGGCAACAGTACACTAGTCACCAAGTGCAGCACCAACTATTGAAACTGAGCAGACGTAACCCCCCAAAACAAATAGATTCATCATGCAATCCTCGAGGGACGGGGGCAATACGTTGCATGGTACTTGCCCCCCCTTTGCAAATTCTCTTGCATGGCACTTCGCCCCCTCCCGCCCGCCGCCGCCGCCAATCTCACGCAGCGCTGGGCGGCCGAAGAGACGCACGAGTGAGTCCCGGCTTGGCGAAGTCCTGGTTTGCTTTGTGGCCTCGCCACGCCCCCACCCTCTTCGTGCAAGGAAATTCGCCGGAGTCTGACGAGAAATGGCCTCCTATGGGGAAAGGGAAGCCAATGCGCCCCAGTCGTCCATGGGCACGGGCACTCCCGGCGGTCCGGGCTTCTGGGAGCCGCTCGGGGCGCTCTGTCGCGCGGGAAGCCCATCCTCCTCCGCCTCCTTCTTGCTCCCCCTACTTGCTCCCCCGTCTAACCAGCTTGCTCCGCATGCTCACGGCTCATCTCCCTCCTCCTCCCCCTTCTGATCTTATTATTCTTCCTCCTCCGTTTCTCCCCTTCTTGTAACGAAGCACGTATTCCTCCTCCTCCTCCTCCTCCTCCTCCTCCTCCTCCTCCTCAGCATCATCATCATCATCAACATCAGCATCATCATCATCATCATCATCATCATCATCATCATCATCATCATCATCATCATCATCATCATCATCATCATCATCATCATCATCAACATCAACATCAACATCATCATCATCATCAGCAGCAGCATCAGCAGCAGCAGCAGCAGCATTCTCATCCTCATCCTCATCCTCATCTTCTCCTCCTCCTCCTCGTCCTCCTCCTCCTTCTCCTCCTCCTCCTTCTCCTCCTCCTTTCTCTCCTGCTCATTTTCCCTTCCATCCTCTTTCCCATCCTCCTTCCCTCTTTCTCCGACCCCCTCTCTACTGCCCCGTCCTCCTCTTCCTCCTCCACTTCTTCACTGCCCCGTCCTCCTCTTCCCTCTTCCTCTCCCAGATTGTCATCCTTTCTCCTCTTGCCCGCCTCATCCTTCCTTCTGCTCATCCTTTCCTCCTCCTCCCTCCTCCTTCCCGCTGGTGCGCGACTCTGTGCTTTGGTCGCCCGTCTTCGGAGCCCACAGCCTGCTTCCTGTTCTGACTGATGTGATGATGTGAGGCCATCCCCGTGCAGGGCAAGCCCACGACCCAAGAGCGCCTCGCACCGTGCCGACGTCCAGCGAACGAAAGCCGCTCCCCTCCTTCAGGCCCCTTCCTTGCCTTGTCGGCTGCTTCCTCCACGGGGGGGCGCCTGTCGCAGGGCGGTCTGGAAAGCTGGTATCCCTGCGTGCCGCCGCAGGTGCAATGACTCCCCATGCCGCCATGCGGCAGGCGCCCCAGATGGCGGAAGAGCTCGTCTCGTGCAGCTCGTCCTTTGGTAATCCTCTCCTTGGTACGGGAACTGTGGCGACGCGCGTCGGGCATCGAGAAATTGGAGCAGCTCGTGGCAACATTCGTGCCAGAAGGCCGAGTTCTCTGGACTCCGAGCCAGCTTGTCCGCCTGGCGTGGTATGCGCACGGAGAAAGCCTCACCTTCTGGCTCCTTGCGTCCGGCCTCAAATCCTCCCTTCCCACTGCGCGCAGGGTCGCCAGCAGAAGTTTCGGCCGCTGTGCACCACCTCGGAGATCTAGGTCACCACCGAGGCGCGAGGATAGCTTGGCATCGCTCGGACGTGTGCAGTTTTCCTTCGGCGAGGACCATCGAGGAGCATCCTTGATCATTTGGCGAAAAAACCACGCACGAAACCGAAAAAAACACAGGGAATGGACGTCCGAGCGATGGCCAGAGTGTGCCCAGGAGGATTCAGACTCTTGAGGGTTCCATCTGCGGCGGTGAAACCCACGGCCAGTCCATGAGATTGGGGTTCCACTGGCCTCCAGACCATAGGGGTCCTTACCTGATGGCTCCTCAGCCAATGCACTCACCGCAGCGGAGCTCGAACACCTGTGTCCAGCCCCTCCCCGAACGCCGCCGGCGCGTGGCACATCGGATGTCCCCGCGCGCGCATGCGAGTGGAGCGGTCCAGAACATGGGCCCGCCTTCGATGATGTCGAAGGAGGAGCACCTTTTCTTCATCGGCGGAAGCTGGCGGAAGCAAAAAGTGCGCCCCCAAGGGAGTAGAGGAGGAGGAGGAGGAGGAGGAGGAGGAGGAGGAGGAGGAGGAGGAGGATGAGGAGGAGGAGGAGAGGAGAAGGAGAAGGAGAAGGAGAAGGAGAAGGAGAAGGAGAAGGAGAAGGAGAAGGAGAAGGAGAAGGAGAAGGAGAAGGAGAAGGAGAAGGAGAAGGACGAGGAGGAGGAGGAGGACGAGGAGGACGAGGAGGAGGAGGAGGAGGAGGACGAGGGGGCGGACGAGGAGGAGGAGGAGGACGACGAGGAGGAGGGCTTCCAAGGGGGCCAGGGGAGGGGGGCAGTGTCCTTGAGGGGGCCAGGGGACAGCAGCCGGCAGAGGGCCAAATGAGCTGGTTGGCTCCTGAGTTGGGCCTCGGACGGGAGTTGCCTCGGACCGGAGTTACCACAGACAGGAGCTGTCCTGGAGAATTCGGGCGTCCGAAGAGAGAGAGAGAGAGAGAGAGATGTCAATTTCATGTTCAAAACAGGGAATGATATAATATGTTCATCGAGTACACATGTGCACATGGACTTGTTGTAATCCATGCTCTGCCGGTGGGCGAGCACGGCGACTCCCAAAAAGAGAGGCTGACGCCGGCTTGCCCACAGTGGGTCTCCGGGGAGTTGGCTGTACGGCACGCTGCCTTGTGTAGAGGCGCCAGAGAAGGCACTCCAGAGACGGCGCCGCCTGGGAGGGATCGAGGGGTTGACATCTCTTCATCGGCGGAAGAAGGCGGAAGTACGGCGAGGGCGGCAGAAGCCGGCGGATGGGGCGAAGTCGGAAGTTCGTGGTTGTCCCAGAGGTGCCAGTGTTTGGGGATTCCAGGTTCCTGGAGTTGGCGGATTAAATGCAGGATCGTTTGGGATGCAGGTTTCAGGTAATTCGCGAATGTGTCGCGTGAAGGTTACACGACCCAGTAGTCTGGCTTCCCGAGTTGCTCGACATTCCCGATTGTGATCCGGAAGGCCAGCGTGCCAGCCAGCACGAAGACCGAGGAATGTTCTATAGGACTGCGCTCCCAATGTCTCTTGAAAGCACGTCGCTTTGGCCTGAGGATGCCCTGATGATGACCAGCAAGGGCCTCGACCAGAGCTGGGGTGCCGACCAGCCCGAGGAGCTTGCCAGGGCGCTCGATGGCACCCTTCTCGAGGACGAGTCGGAGTGCTCAACGTCCTCCTCGGAGGAGGATCCGGCGGCGCCGGTCGGTTCGGCCCTGTCGGTGAGGCCAGTTGAGACAGCGGGAGTCCCCTCCCTCTCCTCCCCCTCCTCCCCTTCCTCCCCCTCCTCCCCTTCCTCCCCCTCATCCCTCCTCCCTCCTCCCCCCCTCTTCTCGCCCCGTCGGGGACCTGGCACCTCAGGCGGTGGCCAGGTCCCCGCGGCCGCGGCCGCAGCCGCTCGTCGGCCGCGCAGGGTCTGCGAGACTCTTCCGCTCGGCGCCGTTCTGCGGTCGGGAATTCTTGCTTGATATGTCGCTCCTTGGGTTCTGGGTCCACCGCGCTGCAACGCGACAGGCTATCCACTTCCGACCCCCAAGCGTCAACGTCACGAGTTTCTCTTCGGAAATTGGAAACTGTGCATTGCCAGTGGTGAGCTGTTTTTCAATCCCGGGACATTCTGAGGGTCGAGGACGACGTCGGGGTGGTGTGGTGTATACCTGTTTCCCCGTTTTCCCAGGGACGGCGAAACATGTTTACACCAGGTCCCCGTATACACCAGGATCCGATTTCCTGTGCGAGCTCCAGTGCAGGACCCGAAAACGCGTCGGTGTATACAGTTCGGTGCCCTACAAGCGTCAACGTCGCGAGCCTCTCCACGCCTCCCGCTCCGCGGGACGGAGCGACACGCCATCCGCTCGCAGGGCATAGGGCGTCGCCAGGGCCGCCGCCGCCGCGGCACATCGAGCAGACGTCCCCGCTCTGTCCTCGCCCTCCTCGCTCTGCAGGACCGCTGGTGTCTCGGCGATCCTCTGGCCCGCTGCAGCTCGTCGTCCTCGTCGTCCTCGTCGTCGTCGTCGTCGTCGCGGCGGCGTCGGCGTCGGCGTCGGCGTCGGCGTCGGCATCATCGGCGTCGTCGTCGTCTGCACGGCGGGAGGTTTCTGGCACGTTTCGGCCTTTAGGGGCCCTCGTCGAGCCCCAGGTCTGTCAGAAAACAATTCAGGATGAAAGCTGGTCCCGGAGAGTGGGTCGAGACCTCCAGGGGTCCACGTCAGGAACAAATCATGACGTCGAGGGCGTTGGGAGGCGGGCCTCGGGTCGAACGAGAAAGGTCCAGGGAGGAAGCCCACCCCGAACCCGATAAATTGGCGTTGACGAAACGGCCCCTGGGCGCTCACGAAACAGCCCGGCCCTGTTCGGCTCCTTCCTGGGTGCGTTGATTGCGCGGCTTCGCTTGTCGGGGTGCTTATCCCTCCCCCTCGTTCTTCAGACCGTCCGCTTTAACCTTCCGCCCCTTTTTCGATATCATGTGTGGTGGTTGCCTTAAGCTACGTAAGGCTTCCATGAGTTTCGACGAATTCTTCCGCACCTTCCGCGGAGGTCGGAAGATATGGAATATGCAGAAGGAATTCGTCACGTGATGCGAAGTTCCCTCCCCCCATCTGATCCTCCTCTCTTCCTCCCCTTTGCTCCTCCTCCTCCTCCTCAGATCCGTTTCGCGTGACGGATCCAAGGCGCCGATGGAAGGTGGAGGTGGAGGGCTTGTGGGGGGGGTATCTCTCTGCTTTCTAAAGAGAGGCATACCCAGACCTCCGACGTGTTTCGCAGCAGGTCTGGGCGGAGGCTTGTTTGCTGTTTTTTCCTGCCTCTGGTAGGGGCCCCCGCCGTGCCCCCCCGGGGGGCAGTCCACAACAAAAAGGGGCTCGGGCTGAGAGGAAAAAACTATATATATATATATACATATATATATATATATATATATATATGTATAAGCTTGCTGATTAATGATATGCTGAAGACCGAAACACGCCGTCAACACCGATCCGTAGTTTTTCCTGGCTCGAGCCCCCCCCCTCCCCGGGGGGCAGGGGGGAAACGGGCCAGGGGCCCTTGATGCTGGGGCAGCTTGCCCGGGCCGCCGTGCTGGGGGTGGCCAGCCTGGGCGGCGCGTGGCTGGGGGGGTGCCGGTCGCCGCCGTGCCCGGCATCGCCGCCCCGCCCGCCGGCGGCGACTTGCACGTGTCCGCCAGCGCCAGCGGTCTCGCGCCCGCAGGTGAGCGTCACCTGCCCGGCGGTGCCGGCCGCGGAGGCCCGCGCCTGCCCCCAGGCGCCGGCGGCACCGGTGTGCCCGCCGCCGCCCGAGAGCCCGCAGGGCACGTCCAAGGCGGAGGTCGCCGAGTCGCCAGGCCGGCAGGACCTGTCGCCGGATGGTAACATGTACCTCGAGGACTTCAGCGACGCCGTGGCCGTGCGATGTCTGGGGCCGAACAACGAGGTGCCGGAGAGGGTACCTCGGAACCTGATCTATGACTTCGATCAGCCCCCGTCGGCGGGGACACTGCGCAAACGGATGCAGGAGCGAGCCTACGCCGCCGGGCTAGAGGACCAGCGCCGCGGTTACGGCATCGCCGTGTGGGGAGCTGGAGGCGCCGCTGGGGCCGCGAGCGCCGCTGGCGCCAAGCCGGCCGCGGCCCAGGCCGGCGGCGCTGGCCGTGTGGCGGCGGGAGCGCCCGCTTACGTGCCGGCCCAGCCGCCCGCGCCGGGGGCTCCCGGCGAGGGCGAGGACGGTGGGCCGGGCCCGGCGGCGCTCCAGGGCGACGAGTGCGTCAGCTGCGACGTCCGCCCGCCAGCGGGGCCGACGGTGCAGCCGGTGACGGTCGACACGGTGCGCTGGGTGGCGGCCGCGAGCGTGGTGTACCCTGGAGGCAGCGTGGATCGAGGGGACGACGAGGCGATCAGCGGGTCGGAGATGGTGTCGGGCCGCAAGGGAGTGATCGTGCTGATGGGGGTATCCGTGCTGATGGGGGACGTCGGCGACGGCGATGTGCAGGTGTACAGGTCGAGGGAGGCCCGTCATGACGCGAGGCTGCTGAAGATGCAGAGGGACTCTCGAGGTGACGGCCACCGCCCCTGGCGCGACGTCACGCGCGGTGTGAGCGCGGTGAAGCAGACGGACTGGCCCTCGTCGGGCCCGCAGACGACGGAGTGGTGCACAAGGTTCCTTGACCGTCGAAGTGAGGGGCCCGTGGGCTGGAGTTGGCGCTGGCGAGCCGACAGCAGGCTGGCCATGGACCAGTGGGGCGTATCCGAGCACGAGACGCTGGCGAAGGCCCTCGAGCGCTTGGGGACCCCCGACCAGTATGACGTGGTGAACGTGGCGGCGGCGGAGTACATCGATCGACGGATGCGGCTCATCGAGTGCTTCTACTACGAGGTCTACTGGCAGGCGGACGGCAGCAAGCATCAGGACAGGAAGGGCGGCAAGGGCGTGCGCCTGGAGGAGATGGCTGGCCTCTCCGGGAAGCCGCGCGAGGACGGAGAGGTGATGGTGGCGCCGGAGCTGCTGTCCTACTTCGCCACCGAGCTGGAGCGGGACTCTGGCATCAGGAAGCAGATGAGAGAAGCCCGCGAGGGACGGCGACTCGCGGGCAAGCATGACCAGTGAATGGGGCCGCCGTGGGAACCCCCGATCCCACGGCGAGTATGCAGGGGGGCCGCTGGACACGAGCCCCGGCGCGGCCTTTGCACGTGGCTCACACGAGGGCAGGGTCGTCAATCGTGATCTTCTTCCCTTGCCTCACTACCGCCTGCCGAGCATGGGCAGCGACGATGGCGGTCAGCCAAAGTCTCGTCGGGGGCAGCGCCGCCGAGGGGAGCGAGCTCATTGCGAAGACTGGGCTCGCTGCTGCGCGATCACGCTGAACGAGCTCGACCGCGGGTCTGCTGATCCGCATCCTCAGGGACAGCGGGCCAGTGCCGGGCAGGAGCGCAGCTTGGGCATGATCCAGGCTGCGGTAGCTGAGCTCGGACGGCCGCCCGCCGACCTGACTCGCCAGGGAGCCCTCGCGGAGCTCCTGGCCAAGCGCAGCTACACCGGCGAGAAGGTGTCTGTCGCTCGGCTCGACATTTCTCTCTTGTCCCTGCCTGCTGGTGGGGGCGGTCCCCGAGCGCTGACAACCTTGCTCGGGGATGAGGGCCCAATGGTAGTCGATGCCTTTTTGAGAGACAAAGTCTTGCCTCCATCGGAGGCGGCGGCGCGGGTGGCCGAGTCGGCCTTGAAGCGCCCGTACTACGATCCTTCGCTGCAGGGGAGGCCGCGCCGGTATGCGCGCCTCCTCGCGGCCCTTGACGGCGCAGGCATGCTCGAGTGGAGGCGGCACGGATCGCCCCGAGTAGGCTTGTTTACTGTTTGGAAAAAGAACGGCAAGCAAAGATTGATTGTCGACGCTCGGTTGTCTAACTTGTGCTTCGCTTCTCCTGATTCTGTCGACCTTGCCACAGGCGGATCTTTCGCGTCCCTCGAGGTTGACCCTGGGCCCCCAGTGTGCCTTGCTCAGGTCGATATCCAGGATGCCTTTTACCACCTCCTCCTCCCTCCTGAGCTCGTCCCCTTTTTCTGTCTCCGCCCTGTCACCGCTGGGCTCGCCGGAGTCGTTGAGCTCGACGGCGCCCCTGTCTCTCCGACCCAGCTCGTGTACCCGCACCTGCGTGTTGTGCCGATGGGGTGGAATCACGCCTTGTGGTGGTGCCAGCGAGTTCATGAATTTCATGCCTTTCGGCAGCCCGGCGTGTCCCTCTCTAACAAGCTCTCGGATAAGAAACCCGGGGTGCGTCTGGGCCGCTCGGGGTTTGCTCGCACTGAATACGTTGACAACTTCGCGGCCATCGGGCGCCAGGCCAAGGAGGTCGACGCTGTGGCCGATTCCGTTTTAGACGCCCTGACCGCCGCTGGGCTCAGCATGCATCCTCGTGAGAGCTCAGTCGGCGGGTCCGTCTTGGGATGGGAATTCAGTGACGAGTGCCCTCAGGTTCGTGTGAGCCCTCGCAGAGTGTGGAGACTCCGACTCGGCATTGAGGGGCTCCTAGAGAAGGGCTTTGCTACAGGCAGGGACCTCGAGGCCATCATAGGGCATTTCACGTTCGCCGCTCGAATTCGGCCAGAGGCCCTGCGCGCGTTCTCCGCTGCGTACGCCTTCAGTCAGCGGGGGGCCGACACTCGCCGTAGGTTGTGGGCTGCCGTGCGAAGGGAGCTTCGTTGGGCAATAGGTCTCCTCCCCCTCCTCCGTCGTCGCCTCGATGCCGTTTGGAACTCAAAGGTGCGGTGTACAGACGCCTCCCCCTGGGGTCGTGGTGTTTGCTTGGCTGAGCGTGACCCTCAGTCCATCGCGGAGGCCGGCCGGTGGTCGGACCGGTGGCGCTTCTCGCGAGGGGCCGAGGATCGCGTTCGGCCGAGAGACGCCTCGCTCCGTGAGGAGCTGAACTTAGCCGCGGCGGCCGGTCTGGACGACCTGGATCGCGTCGGGACGGCTCGGCACCTGGAAGCCCTTGGCGAGGTGGATCGGAGCGGGGCCGCCCCGGAGATGGGGCCCGAAATCCTTCAGGGATCCTGGACCACCGTTTCGGCCGGTCGCTGGAAGCGCCGGGAGGCGATGCCCATCTTGGAAGGGCGCGCTCTGGTCTGGGGGGTCCGGCATGCGAGCCGGGGTTTAAGCGAGTTTGGCAAGCGGATCCTTTTTCTGACCGACGGGTTGCCCGAGGTCCTGGCCCTTGAGAAGGGCCGATCGTCGAGCGTGGCCCTGATGAGAGTGCGCAGGCAGTGGGCGGCGACGGTGTTTGCGGCCGATCTGCATCCTCGGGTTCGGTGGATTCGGTCTGAGTTGAATGTGGCCGACGAGCCTTCTCGTCGCTATCAGCCGAAGCCGTTTGGGCTCAAACGCGGGTGCTTTCGGCCTCCGCCAGGTCTGCCTGAGCCGGATGGCGACCGGCCTCCCGCGGCCACTCGCAGGTGCCCCGATCCCGTCGGCCCCGTGGGATGCGGTCCTGGCGACCGACAGCCTGGCGAGGCCGGGCGGGGCTGCGGAGCGGCGACCCGTCCAGGGCGAGCCGCCGACCCTGTGGCGAGCGGCGGCGCTGTCACAGGCTGGCGCGCGACCGCGCCCACCCCATGGGCGGGCCCGGGCAAAGGCAGCGGCGAGACAAGCCAAGCCTCGGCCCGAGGAGCTGGCCACGAGGGGGGAGCGCGCCGCTGCCCGGCAAACGAATTTCCCCGTGGACAAGCGGGCGACAGTCAGCGAGGGCCTCTCGCTGCTCGAGAGGGAGAGCGCGGGCGACCACGACCAGCGGGTCTACCAGTCGGCGCTCGTGGAGTTCAGGATCTTCTCCGAGACCCTGGGCCTGCGCCTCGAGACCGCTCAGGACTACGACGAGGCAGCCGTGGAGTGGACCTACCCCGCTGTCTTCGACGGCAGCGACGCGCTGGAGGGGACAAGGCTCAAGGCGCGGCTGCTGTACTACTACCCGCGGCTCCTGTCCGTGGCTGGGCTGCCCCAGTTCAGCCGGGCGCTGAGGGGGTGGAGGCGGCCGGGGTCGCCGCGGAGCCAGCTGCCGCTGCCGGGGGAGGTCGCCGGCGCGGTGGCACACAGGCTCGCGGCAAACCAGGACCTGCACGCCGCCCGCCTCGTCTTTGTGAGTTTCGTGTTCGGCCTGCAGCCCGCGGAGCTGATGTCGCTGACCGGGCGGCAAGTGGTGCCGCCGGCGCGGGCGGCCGGCCACGCTGCGCGGTCGCTCGTGCTGTTTCCGATGGAGGAGGAGACGCCCAGCAAGGACGGCGCCTTCAACGAGAGCGTGCTGGGCGACTTGCCGTTCTGCCACCTCATCGGGGACGTGCTGAAGCCGCTCGAGGCCGGCGTCAACGACAGGGACCTCGTGGCGCAGGTGCGGTACGCGCAGCTGGCGCAGGCGTTCGGCACGGCGGACCAGCGGCTCGGCCTCGAGGGCCCGCCGGGCCTGTACCAGCTGCGGCACGGCGGAGCGCCCGTCGACCTGGCCAGCTACCGCCGCAGCATCGCGGAGGTGAGGGCTCGCAGCCGCTGGGCAAGCGACAGCTCGGTGACGGGGTACGGCAAAGGGGGCCGCGTCGCCGACCAGCTGATCAAGTTGCCACCGCCGTTCCTCGACCACGCCATCGTCCGCGCCAAGAAGAATGGCGACGTCCTCTGCGAGCACTGCCGGCCTTTGCCGCCCGTGCGGGCGGGGCCGTAGCGCTCGAGGTGTTCAGCGGCTCCGGCAACTTCAGCCGGGCCTGGCGACGGCGGCAGCGCGCTCTGGGCTATGCTATTTTCGAGTGGGACATCCGCTGGGGAGAGGAGTATGACCTCACTCGCCAGCGGGCGCAGCGCCTGGTGCGAGGCTGGGTCAACAACGGGCTGATTGCTGCCGTCTGGCTGGGCACCCCTTGCCACAGCTGGAGCCGAGCACGGGACATTCGACCAGGGCCTCCGCCCTTGCGAAGTGACCTGCACGTGATGGGGTTGCCCGACCTAGCGCCCCGTGACGCTGAGAAGGTTAGGATCGGCAACGCCCTCATGAAATGTTCAGCCTCGCTATTTTCTTTGTGCCAAGCCGTGCGCGTGCCAGTAGCTATTGAGAATCCTCACATGTCTAGAATTTGGCTGACGTCTCAATTCAGGAGATTGCAAAGAAAATGCCGCTCTGTCGTGTTAGACTTTTGTCAATTCGGCCAGTCGTGCCGAAAGCGCACTCGCATCATATACGATCATGTGGACCTCCAACCTTTACATCGCCTCTGTCGTGGCCCCCGCGGGATCTGCTCCCGCACGGGCCGCCCTCATGATCAGTTGCAGGGCAAAAATGCAGACGGCATTTTTCACACGCTCTTGGCCGAAGCTTACCCAGTTGATTTGTGCACTAGCATCGTCCGTTGCTTCCAGCTGGCGCTTGCAGAAAAGAAAGTTCAGCGAGCACAGACAATTTGGTGCGGCTGAAGCCAGTGGCGTTTTTGGAGAGAAGTCGTTCTATGCAAAAAGAGTTGGTGCCCGCTTAGCTTTGAAGTTAAGCGCTGCCTCGAGCTCGAGTCTGTGTGATCTGTGATTGCAAAGTCGGAAGACTTGTCGACACCAGAGATAGCATCGCTTCGCACGCCTGGCGGAAAATGGACTGGGCGTTTCATTTGTATAGGCTTGCTGATTAATGATATGCTGAAGACCGAAACACGCCGTCAACACCGATCCGTAGTTTTTCCTGGCCAACCGTCTGCCCCACCGCCGCCCTCTCCTTTTTAAATTGCAGAACGAACCAAGTGATCAGGTGCCCGCTTAGCTTTGAAGTTAAGCGCTGCCTCGAGCTCGAGTCTGTGTGATCTGTGATTGCAAAGTCGGAAGACTTGTCGACACCAGAGATAGCATCGCTTCGCACGCCTGGCGGAAAATGGACTGGGCGTTTCACATATATATATATATATATATATATATATATTCACACACACATAAAACATAAACAAACAAACAAACAAAAACAAAAAAAATGTCCCAGAGCAGGGGTCGAACATTTCGGGGGGGGGCCTTGTATGGGGCGTTCCAGGAAGGGCCTCGTCTTCGAGGACAGAAGGAACTGTCATCTATTCCGCGGCGGAAGGGCGGCGAAGGTCGGCGGAAGTAAGACGAGGCCGCCTCCGCCGGCAGAAGCCGGCGAAAGGGCGGCGGAAGGCGGCGGAAGTAAAACATGCGTTCCAAAGAGATGAAGACGTTTGTGGGTTCAGGGTGTCCAGAACCGGCTATATATATAACTATATATATATATATATTATCATGCGCACCTCTCCGAAGGAGTAGAGCTCAGAGGCGATTAATGCGTACGCGTCGTCCGCGATTGTTCTGGCCATTTCGCTAGGGACGTCCTCGAAATTCTGAAAATCGGCGGCACCCCTCACACAGATCGTGACGTCAGGGTCCAAAAACACATAGGAATTTCAACATTTCAACATAAAACCGTCAAAAACACATTGTAATTTCAATGAGTTTGATCCCGATTCTCAGAGAATGGCGGTTTCGCTTGAGACATCCTCCCAAAATGGAGTTTCCTGGGGCCTCCTGCGGCCTCCTGGGGCCTCCTGCGGCCTCCTGGAGCTTCTTGTGGCCTCCTGGAGCCTCCTTCGGCCTCCTGGAGCCTCTTGGGGCCTCCTGGAGCCTCCAGGGGCCTCCTGGTCGGGCCTCCTGAGGCTTCTTTGGGAGCCCCTGGCACACACATCGCAAGGTGTGGCAACCCCACTTGCGCTCGAGTGCGACCTCGCTATTGCACTTCACTCCACATCTAGTGAAACAAATCGGCTGGTGGGAATGGTGCTTACACTTCTCTTGTTAATCGCTTCGCTCACTCCGCCAGCCCATCTTGCATCACTGGTGCTATATGTTCGTGTGCTTGTGGCGAGCCAGCTGGACTCTCTTCCGGCTTCCTGGTCGGCCCTCCTGAGGCTTCTTTGGGGGCCCCTGGTGCACACATCGCAAGGTGTGGCAACCCCACTTGCGCTCGAGCGCGACCTCGCTATTGCATTTCACTCCACATCTAGTGAAGCAAATCGCCTGGTGGGAATGGTGCTTACACTTCTCTTGTTAATCGCTTCCCTCACTCCGCCAGCCCATCTTGCATCACTGGTGCCATATGTGCGTATGCTTGTGGCGAGCCATCTGGAGCCTCTTCCGGCTTCCTGGTCGGGCCTCCTGAGGTTTCCTGGGGGCCCCTGGTACACACATCGCAAGATGTGGCAACCCCACTTGTGCTCGAGTGCGACCCCGCTATTGCATTTCACTCCCAGCAGCTATCCTCTTCCTCCTCCTCCTCCTCATTTGCGGCGCCGCGCCAGCTTCCCCTTCTCCATCTCCGATCCCGCCGTCATGGTGTCTTCCTGCTCCAAACGCCCTTTTCAGTTTTCTTTTTGTATGAGCCTGGGCACACACGTGCCACTTGTATATATATATATATATACACACCTATACGACTACCCTTCGGGTGATAAGGAGGTTATGGGGGGGGGAGAGGGGGGAACCAACATCTGACTCAATCGATCTCACTATCGATCTTACTCAACGGGACACCACGGGACATTTGTCGATCTCACGATCGATCTCACTATCGATCTCATTCAACGGGACACCATGAGACACTTCGGGACACCGCGGGACACCTCTCGATCTCACGATCGGTCTCACTATCGATCTCACTATCGATCTCACTCTACGGGACACCATAGGGCACCACGGGACACCACGGAACACCTCGGGACACCACATCAATCTCTTTATGTATCTCACGATCGATCTCACTCAACGGGACACCACGAGACACCACGGGACACCACGGGACACCACGGGACAACTGTCGATCTCACTATCGATCTCAATTTTTGGGACACCACGGGACACCTCGGGGCACCACATAGATTTCAGGATCGATCTCACTGTCGATCTCACTATCGATCTCACTCAACGGGACACCACGGGACACCGCAGGACACCGCGAGCCACCGCCGGACGGACGGACGGGCGGGCGGGGGAGAATCATGTGTCTCGACTTCGCCCCAGCAACGGCGGACACCATGGGACACCACGGGACACCGCGGGACACCGCAAGCCACAGCCTGACGGGCGGGCGGGGGAAAATCATTTGTCTTGGTTTCGCCTTAGCAACGGCGGGCAGCACGGGACACTACGGGACAACGCGGGACACCGCGGGACACCGCGAGCCAGTGCCGGACGGGCGGGCGGAGGAGAATCATTTGTTTTGACTTCGCCCTAGCAACGGCGGGTTCATTCCTCTCGCGCGCCCACGCAGCTTTGCTTCGCCCGCACGCACGACATGAACGAAACGAAACGAGTTCCCACCTGGGGGTTATCGTTCCACTGCGATCTCACCCCCCAACCTCCGATATCTATATATATATGTATGTATACGTGTAGATCTGTACGTATACACATATATATATATATATATATGTGTGTGTGTGTGTATGTATGTATGTATGTATGTATGTATGTATGTGTATGTGTATGTATATATATATATATACATATATATATATATATATATATATATATATCGTAACACCCCGCAATTGCGGATAAGAGTGAGGGGGCGGGCGCGGGCGACGCGGGCGTCGTCGAGCCGGCGGACCTCGTGGCCCCACCTTCCCTGTCGATGGCGCTCTCCTCCTCCTCCTCCTCCTCCTCCTCTTCCTCGTCCTCGTCCTCATCGTCATCGTCATCCTCCTCCTCCACCTCGTCCTCCTCCTCTTCTTCCTCGTCCTCCCTCTCCCCCCCTCGTCCTTTCATCATCGTCCTCCCATTGTCGTCCTCCCCCTCATCGGCCTCCATCATCGTCCTCCCATTGTCGTCCATCATCATCATCATCATCATCATCCTCCATCCATCATCATCATCATCATCATCATCATCATCATCCTCCTCCTCCCCCTCCTCCCCCTCGTCGTCCTCCTGCTCCTCCTCCTTTTCTTTCTCCACATTCTCCTTACATCCTCTCTTATTCCGCGTTCTCCTCGTCCCCTGTTTACTCCTCCTGCCTCCCCCTCCTTCCCCAAGATAACTGCAACGCAATCCCTTTTTCCACTTTATGCTCCCCGCCTTCTCTGATCAAGGCAACTCGCCAGGGCAGAGTTGCTGGACGGGCTGGTGTGGATTCGCGGGGCTTGAAGAGGTCCTTGCGGGCTCAGACGGCATGCTAAAACCTGATCGGACAAGAACGGGAAGCGCGCCGCTTTAGTCTATTGGGCGTATTAGGCGAAGAATAAAAGGAAGGCGAGGACAACGAGGAGTCGATGACGAGGACGACGTGGCGAACGTGAGGATAGCGCGGAGGAGCATGAGGACAACGAGGAGGAAGAGAAGCACAAGGACGATGACGAAGAGAACGAGGGCGAGTACGAGGACGAATGCGGAGGGCGACGACGACGACGACGACGACGACGACGACGACGACGACGACAGAGGACAGTACGAGGCAATTGGAGAAAGACGTTGCTCCTGGCGCCGCGCGGGGTTCTCTTGGGGCCTGTTGGGGGCTTCTTGGGGGCCCCTTGGGTCCTCTTATGGGCTTCTGGGGTCTTCTTGGGCTGTCTGGGCGCGTCGTGGGGTTCCGTGGGAGCTTTCTTAGGCCGTCTCGGCGCTGGGGGCCTCCTGGGGCGCTCCCGGGAGTCTCTTGGGGCCTTCTTGGCCCTTCTTGGGCCGTCTTGGGGTTCTCGTGAGCTGTGCGGGTGGCTCCTAGAGCGCTCTTGGGGGTCTCTGGGGGTCTTCTTGGGGCGCTCTTGGTCGGCGATCTTCTGACCCGGGTCAATCCAGACCCGGGTCAGCAGGAAGCCAAAAACTGCAATGCAGGAAAAAAAAAACTGCAACGCAAATCTTCGCAAACCCAGGTCAGCCAATACGCGCGGCAGCCTCGCGGCCACGAGCGGCTCGCTAACCCGGGTCAGCCAGAGGGGTCTTCGCAGGATCCTGCAGGATCTGGCGCCCTGGCTGACCCCTGTTTGCATTGACCCCCGTCTCAAGGCTCCCGACTTGGGCGTTCCTGGGGCTCTCCGGGGCGTCTTTTGGGCCTC